CAGGCGGATTTAACCAGTCATTTCAATAAACCCTTTGAACTGAATACAACTTGTGTACTCTGTTATAAACCAATGAGGCTTGAGGGGAGACAACTATATGTCTTTGAAAATGATGAAACATCAGGACGAACCATTAAAAGCATGTTAAAATGAAACAATAATCAACTGAAGACAGAAATCTGATCTATCAATTTCAAAATCAAACAGCGAACATTTTATTTTATTTTATAAAATTATAATAAAATCTTATAACACTATAATTATTATAATAATTATATTATAATAATTATTATTATAAAATTTTATTTTATAACTTTCAGAGGATATGTAATTCCAGACTCCTTCTCTTTAATAAAAGATTTTGTATTTGACACAATATCTTTCTAATTTCAGACTTCATCACTTTAATCTAACTTGTAATTTCGAACCAAAACATGGGGCATTCATTTGTCAGGGCTGGAACTATATATTTGCAACTGCAGAGTAGTCTTGTTCCCTTTCTTCTGGCTGACATAAAACATACAGCAACTACTATATTTCCCCATCCAGTGGTTAAACTGGACAATTGTGTCAGCAATAGTGGAATGCTTCCTTATTTGTCAATCAGGCTTCGACTTATTTTATTCTGCAGGGTCTGCTCTGGGTGACCACAAGAACATTTTTTAAAAAATTTTCCATTTGTGTACGGTTTCTACAGATGTCTAATGCTACCCATAAGCTTTGTGGACATAAATGCCAGGAATCTTTTACATTGGGAACACAAAAAAATTGCTGGGAAAGTTCAGTAGGTCTGGCAGAATTTGTGGGCAGAAATCACAGGTAATGTTTCCATTCAAGTGACCCTTCCTCAGAACTCAACCCAAAACGTTAACTGTAATTTCTTTACACTGATGCTGCCAGACCTGCTGAGCTTTTCCAGCAATTTCTTCTTTTGATGTATAGCATCCACAGTTCTTTCAGTTCTTAATCTTTATATTGGGCACTGGCAGATTTTTTGTTGGGATTTCTTGTGAACTCTAATCAACTTTGTTTTTCATTGGAGTTGAAATCATATTGTTAAAAGGTGAGGTTTCAAAAGGTCTTGCAGTGCAGTGTTGTGACAACACACAGGGGTCATTTGCCCTAATAAATGATGTGGTTTGGCAGCTACAGGCAATATAGAAACCAACACATTAGTTACATATCATCTTATTGAAGAGTACCAATTAGCAAGAAACTGAGCCACACAAACACCCAAACACATGGGCCTATTTTTAGTTGCTGGGCTGCAAACAAAGTTGGTGTGCCTGTTGTAACGTGAAACAACCAAAAGCTTTCTGATCACAATCCAGCAATGCTCAATACAGGGGCAAGTACTTGAATATTGAATGAAGACAGAATTGGGCTAAGCTGAAACAATATACTACAGTTCAATTGCGTATTCACACTCAACATACAAGAACACATATGGAAGGATACTATAGTGCAGTGGTAACATTAACTGGCCAGGTCCGAGAATCCAGATAATGCAAGTTTAATTCTGTTTCAAATACTTTTCTTAAAAAAAAAAGTATCTAGAAATAAGAAAACAAAACTGGTCTCAATAAAAAAAAAATCACCATGAAGCTACTGAATTGTTTAAAAACTAAAGTTCTTTAAAAGGAAGGAAACTTGAAATGCTTACTCTGTCTGGTCATCAACCAGTGTGGTTGAATCTGAACAGTCCTCCGATGTGGATTAGAAATCCACTGAGAGGTGTATCCACTGTAATAACTGGTTGTAGTCTAACAGGTTTATTTGAAATCACAAGCTTTCAGAGTGCTGACATCACCTGGTGAGGGGGCTGCACTCTGAAAGCTTGTGATTTCAAATAAACCTATTGGACTATAACCTGCTGTCATGTGACTTCTGACCTTGTCCACCTGAGTCCAACACCGGCACCTCCATATCACTGTAATAACTGACCAGGTCGAAGGCCCACCATAGGAACATACATAGAACAGAGACCATGAGTGATCTACTTGTGGAATTTACTCTACAGTTTCTTGCCTGCTCCACTTAGCCCTTGACTTTTTGTTATTTAGAGAAGTGATTTGGATGTGAATATAGGAGATATGGTAAGTAAGTTGACAGATAACATCATAATTGGTGTAGTAGGCAGCGAAGGTGGTTACCTCAGAGTACAACTGATGGGCAAATGGGCCAAGGAGTGACAGGTGGACATTAGTTTAGGTATATGTGACATGTACTATTTTGGATAGGCAAATAAGGGCAGGACTTACACACTTGATGGTAAGGTCCTGGGGAGAGTTGTTGAACAAAGAGACCTTGGGGTGCAGGTTCATAGTTCCTTGAAGGTGGAGTCGCAGGTAGATAGGATAGTGAACAAAAACCAAAAGAATTGCAGATGCTGCAAATCAAAAACAAAACAGAAGTTGCTGGAAAAACTCAGCAGGTCTGGCAACATCTGTGAAGAGAAATCAGAGTTAACATTTCAGGTCCAGTGACCCTTCCTCGGTAGGTAGCTAGAAAATTTTTGGTTTATGTGCAGAAGATATGGTGGTGGGGGGCGGGGAAATGTGTGCTGGAGAGAAGGGGGTCACAAGTAAACAATGGTCATACAGACATAGAATCTCTACAGTGTGGAAACAGATCCTTTGGCCCAACAAGTCTACACCAACCCTCAGAGCATCCCATCATGACCTATCCCCGTATAAACCCACCAACTCTACAGATCCCTGAACACACCGGGCAATTTAGCATGGCTAATCCACCTCGCCCGCACATCTTTGGGCTGTGGGATGAAACCGGGTATCCAGAGGAAACCCACGCAGACACAGGGAGAATCAGCCAGTTACCCGGCAGTAGAATCGAACCGGAGTCCCTGGCGCTGTGAGGCAGTGCTAACCATGAGCCACCGTGCCGCCCAAAACTGATTAAAGGCCTAAAGAGAGAGAAGAACAGTTGGACAGACAAAGGAGTGGATAACAATCTGGCTAGGAGGGTAAGTAGCGATTATTGGAGACATTTAGTGACTATCATTAGGTAGGAGTAGTGAAGGTGGTGTTTGGTTCGCTTGCCTTTATTGGTCAGTTCATCGAGTAGCAGAATTAGGACGTCATGGTGCAGCTGTACAGGACATTGGTTAGACCACTTTTCAAATACTGTGTTCAATTCAGGTCTCTTTGCTGTAGGAAAGATGTGAAACCTGAAAGGGTTCAGAAAAGATTTACAAGGTTGTTGCTAGGGTTGGGGGGGGTTGATCCATAGGAAGAGCTTGAATAGGCTGGGGCTATTTTCCCTGGAGTGGAGGCTGAGGGGTGACCTTAGGGAAGTTAATAAAATTATGAGGTGAGTGAATAGGGTGAATAGCCAAGGTCTTTTCCCCAGCGTAGGGGAGTTGACAAATAGAGGGCGTAGATTTAAGGTGAGAGGAAGACGTAATAAGGAGCTAGGGGGCAGCTTTTTCATACAGAGGGTGGTGCGCGTATAGAATGAGCTGCCAAAGTGGTGGAGGCTGGTGCAATTACAACATTTAGAAGGCATCTGGATGGGTACATGTATAGGAAGGATTTATAGGGATTTGAGCCAATTGCTATCACGTGGGACTAGATTAATTTAGAATATCCGGTTGGCACGAATGAGATGGGCCGAAGGGTCTGTTTCTGTGTTGTATGCCTAGGAGTCTATGAATCTCTTATCCAATGAGGATCTAACTCAACCTTGAATTCACTTAATAAACCAGCCTTTACTCCATTTTGGGAAGAAAATTCCACAGATTAGCAATCCTCAGACAGAAAAAGTAAATCGCCACAGCTCTGCCTTAAAAGAGAACCCTTTGTTTTGGACAGTTGTAGATTTATCAGCACCTGGCCAATGCAACAAAAAGGTGGGTAGCGGCCCCACAACTCCAGGTAACAAATCAGGGCATTAGGAGGATGGAGAGTGACAAATGATAGTATGAGACAGAAATGAACACCGAAACTGTTCTTCAGGGCTCAGTGAGGGCACCCCTTGTACGTTTGCCAACCAAGCCTCTCACTCCAAACTGAAAGCGCTGAGAAACCTACAGCTCTCAAAAGAGATTGGAGTCACCCGAACACACCAACGATACAAATCCACTGCTTTGAAATAATGTTTCATTATGTTAACCAATAGTTGAATTACAACCAGCAAATTTCCGAGGAACGCCATAAACCGTCATTCGCGTTTATTCTCGCGACAAAAGCACGTTCTCATGGAAACCTGAGCAAAAATAAAAATAAATAAGTACAAAAGAAAACACGGAAAATATTTTCGGCATTTCGCAGACGGCGAGAGAGAAAAAAAGAAGCCGAACTATGGGAGAAAGTCACTCCAGGCTTCAGTTCATGTCTTGATACTGATACCAAAAGATAGAGAAGTGGGCAGAGATAATAGTGTGGATCCGGAGGAACACAGCAGGCCAGAGCAACATCAGATTTCTGAAGAAGGGTCCCGACCCAAAACGTCAACTTTCCAGCTCCTCTGATGCTACCTGTCCTTCTGTGTTCCTCCAGCTCCACACTGTGTTATCTCTGACTCCAGCTTCTGCAGTTCTTGCTATCTCTCACAGAGAAAGAGGCAGTCGTAAGAAGGGCAACAGGGAAAGCTAAATGCACCCACCCTGTCACGTAGCAGATAACATAGCAGCTGAAACCAACAGGTCCACAAGCCCCGGAAACTGATAACGGGCTGTATAGCATGACATTGACAGAACCTTAACAACAAGAAGAAATCCACGACAGCAAGTCAAAGCATCTTTCACTTTCAGTTGTTGGATACAATGTTTAGATACATTATGTTTGTTTTAAAATACAAAGTATCAACTTAACAGATACAATTAGATGTAACAATTTTGTTCGTCAATGTTTTTACTGTAACTTCCACACATATCCTCGTCCTATTGACCTGATTTCTTTTCACTGGGATTTCTACCTGCCCCGCACCCACCCCACCAACCAACCATCCAACCAACCAAAGCATCTCTCTCTGTCTCTTACCCTGGGCACAGAACGAGTCCTTCCCGCAGTAGCCACAAGTCCACGCCTCCAGGGGCGGACTCAGCTCCCCCGCCGGGGGGCTATGCCCGGTGCTGCTGGTTCCCATACGAGTGGGGGATTGCTGGTATCACCCCATCCGCTTACTCCCCCGGCAGGGATCCGGAGCCGGATACACATACATGTTCACTAGCGAAGTAGAAGCCAACCGGGCTTACTCCGCTACTTCCTCATCCGTCTGACTGACGCTCACTGGAGTTCCAACCCCAGAGCCGTCAGCTCAAACAGAAACACCTCCCCTCCAGGTTCTCGGAGAGGTGCCCAAAATGCAAATTTTCCGATGGACTTTCTCACTTGCAGAGAGAAAAGAGCGACCTGCATTTAGGTAGCGCCCTTAAGGAGATTCGGAACCCACGCAATCGGACAAACATTTGCCATGTAGTTACAGGTAGCTAACTCGAATTTTCGACAAGAGGTCGCTTTTAAAGACGGACTTAAAGACAGGAAAGCCAGTTCCAGAATTGAAACTGGCTGGAGGTATCGCTCTCAGTGGCAGAATATATAAATTGCGAATTCTAATTCGTTCAAAATATTAACAAGTTTTTTAATGAATAAAGTATACTTTTGAAATAAAACATCAAAATATTAACAAAAAATTCACGTTGTAAAGCAACAGTATTGAAAATATAGATGGAGAAGCACCTCAGTGAAATATTGCCCTAGGCTGCAAACCGTTCATAGCATATATTTTGTAAATTGTAAATCTATTATAATCGAATGATATAGCAGCTGAATTTTCTTGCAAATATTGTATTATTCAATTGAAATGTGCTGTGTTTTTTGACATTTTATTGAAGTATATTGTGCAAAAGAGAAATAATATATTAAGAGTATTATCACTGTATTCAGACACCTAACATTCTGTGTGGAGAGATGTCGAATTTTATTGCTGTCTGTAATTTAAGTCCAGATTTTTCTAACGTAGTTTTACAAATGTTATGAACAAAGTAACTTTTTGAGAAAAATTGCCAAAGAGATCGGTATTGTAAGATGCTAGAAATCTGAAATTAAACCAGGTTACAGGTCAAGAGCAAATTACTGCAGATGCTGGCATCTGTGTTGAAAACATCAAATGCTGGAGATCACAGCGAGTTAGACAGCATCCACGGGGGAGAGAGCTAGCTAATATTTCGAGTCTAGGCGACTCTTTGTTAGAGCTGAAGTGAAGGTTACAGGTCAACATGCACACGGTTCTGAGTGAACAGGATTTGGTGCCAGTTAGGATATGAGGCCTATGCAACACTGTTTATCTTCATGGGCCCACATAATTTTCTGTATTGTTTTATCTACTGTTTCCCATCATTAACTTTGTACCTTACAATGCTCCAAGGGAACAGCCATATGATGGCTTAACCACTAGAACATGGCAAAAGAGCCAGATTTTCCAATGGGCTTGCAGCATTGCTGCTAGGGTCAAATTGAGTCAGAGCTCTTTCACCTGGCTGTGATTTTTCACAAATTAGCCAATTAATTGACCACAGAGGAGCTCACCATTCAATTAAGGATGGCAAGTGGTCTCTGAAACTAAAAAAGAACAAGGGATGTAGCTAAAAAGAAAACTGAAAGAACTGCGGGTGCTGGAAAAGCTCAGCAGGTCTGGCAGCACCTGTGGAGAGAAGTGAGAGTTAACACTTCGGGTTTAGTGACTTCCTCAAAACTGATGGTAGCTAGGACAATATTGGTTTCGATGCAGAAGATAAGGTGGGGGTGAAGAGTAATTGACTGGTAGAGATAGAACCAAAGAGAGAGAACAACAGTTGGACAAAGGAATGGATAACAATCAGCCTAGGAGAATGAATAGCTACTAATGGGGATGATTAGTGGCTAACAATGGGTTGTATGTAATAGCAGACCATGTGATGAGAAGGCCTGGTGTGTGGAGGGGTAAGGTGCCTCAAGCCCTAAAATTGTTGATATTGAGTCCAGAAGCCTGTAGGGTCCCCAAGCAGAAAATGAGTTGTTGTTCTTCCAGTTTGTGCTGAGCTTTGCTGGAGCACTGCAGCAGGCCTGAGACAGAGATATTGGCCAGGAAATACACCACTGTGTTGAAGTAGCAGAGAACAGGAAGCTCAGGGTCTTTTTTTGTGGACGGAAGGATGTAGAAGTTATTTAGCCCTTTAAGACTATTTCACCATTCAATTTGTGATTGTGTCTGATCTGATTGGGGCCTCAACTGCACTTTTCTGTCTGTCCCATTGCTTTTCCTTTTTTATTCATTCATGGGATGTGGGGCATTGCTGACAGGACCAGTATTTATCACCCATCCTTAATTACCTAGAGGGCATTTATTGTGGGTCTGGAGTCACGTGTAGGCCAGACTAAGTGAGAATGACAGATTTCCTTCTCTAAAGTACATTAGTGAATCTTGAGTTTCAATAGCCAATAGGAGGCCTTGCAGTGCTGAAGCAGCAGTAGGCTGCTTTTCCAGATCAGAGATTGGGCATAACTTCAGCTACGTTAGATATGTTTAATTATCCTGTTCTGGTATGTTAAGGCACATATCTGGTACAGGTAGAACTTGAACCTAGACAATCTGGCCCAGAAATAGGGATACTACCATTATTCCACAAGAGACACCTCCAACTATTTTAATTCTAAAACTCCCTTGAACAGCCAGGCCACTATTAACTCTTCACAAGTTGGCCTGCTGCTACAATGAAAGATAAAGAGACAGGTAGGGCCCCTCACGCTGCCTGGAGCACCGCCAGCATTGTGCTACTGGGAGACGACGTCCAGTTATACTGTTTCCTAACACTTCCAGCTCTGGGAGGCAGCCCACAAAAAATTCCAGTCAGTCTCTGACAATGGGCCAGAATAGCATGGGGCAGCTGAGTGGTTAGCAATGCTGCCTCACAGCGCCATGCACCTGGGTTCAATTCCACCCTCCAGTGACTGTCTGTAATTTGCACATTCTCCCCATGTCTGCGTAGGTTTCCTCTGGTTTCCTCCCACAGCCCAAAGATGTGCACGTTAAATGGATTGGCCATGCTAAATTTCCCCCAAAATGTCCAGGGATGTGCAGGCGAGGCGGATTAGCCATGAGGAATGCAGGGTTACAGGGAGAGGGTAGTGGGTCTGGGTGGGATGCTGTTCGGAGGATTGGTATGGATGCTGGCTCAAATGGCTTGCTTCCGCATTATAGGAAATCTATGATTCTAATCAGAAGGACTTTAACAGACTTAGCTGGCTACCTGCTGCTGTGGTCAAGGATCCTTACACTTCAACTTTCAATCTGCCTCAGGTGTAATGACCCAGGCGGGTTGTACTGGCAACACATACAAATGCTTTTGGTGGGTTTACAGGCCCATCAAACTTCGTTGGGACTAAAAACTCTGCAAGGATGATTTTGGAATGGTGTTATTCGGGTTACTATATACACCTTAACAAATGATGGTGTGGATTCTTCCTTGGAATGTGGGAATCTATCAAAGAATTTAGAAAGAAACACTATCTCAGTAGTATGGCCTTCATGCTACTCCACGATGACAGACGCCAAAGTGTAAAGGTCATAACAGAAAGCATCTGATAAGATATTGCAACATGCAGCTTTGGCAACACACAATGAACATCATGAAACAGTTATTCCTGTATAAGATAGTCATTGATAAATCCAATGTACCATTTGTAAGAAACATATTAGCTATACAGCAGTGAGATAATGGGACTTTCCACCACAAGCAATAGTTTAGGTGGATGGTATGAATGCCTTTAAGGGAAGCTAGATAAACACACAAGGATGAGAGAAAAATAGGGATGGTTGATTGGGTTAAATGACAAAGGGTAGGAGAAGCCTTGGGTGGATCATGAACACAAGTACAGAACAACAGCTAACCCATTTATTTCTGGACTCTAGGTTCTATATGGTTAGGAGACAATGTATAGCATATTTATTACAATAATAAATATTTGAAAAAGTCATGGGCAGATTGGGGCTTTCTTTCAGGTATCAATTATAGTCTTGCCTTTATGTTGGTCAAAATGCCAGAATTTATCTCAGCATTCATCATCTCCTGGCCCTGCCCACTGCCCCACCGATGTGGTTATGCCTCTAGGTGAAGGTGGCTGGGGTTAATGGGGTTGGATGAGGGAGCACGACCTGTTCTTACATGGAGTCTTACACATTCTCAGCACATCCCAATGTGTTTTATAGCAAACTCGCTTGGCTTCAAACCATCCATTAGTGGTGACCTGACCATCTGGAGATTGAAAATCCACTGAGTCTGCATGAACAATTCTCTAGATAAAGGGCGAAACACATACGTAAAGTTACCCTCAACCTGATGACCACCTCTGTTTGTGGCTGCACCAGACTTTACATAGACCCTCAATATACAAAGTGCCAATGCATGCTGAGGTTCTATCTGTTTCAGGTTTACAAAGAATAGTTTTGATCAAGTTGGGACAGATTGCTTCACGTAGTTGGATCATGCCATCCCTTGTGAAAATGTTTGCGCTGAAAACGCAGTTGTTCCTCAGACAGTGGTCTGCACGTAGCATCCTAGATAACCACAATTGCTCATTGCCAGTACTTTTCAAACGTGCATCATGGTGAAGCTTGACTGGTAGTGAGAAGTGTCCTCTGCATCAGATTCTTCATGAGGGCTAGAAACATTCTCACTCAGCACATTGCTCTCAAGGAGAACAGACTATTGGCAGCTCGTTCTGGAATGTGCCTTTGTAAAGCAGGCCTGAATCAATAAACAATGTTTTTTTTTGTAGAAGTCCATCTCAAACAGCACCGTAACAGAGGGAGGCATGCTCTATGGGCTGTTCCCAGGGATATACATCAACATACCCATCTACTGGTGACTGAGTGACTACTGCTAGAGGACAAGCCACTCAGTGAAATTCTTTATTCTTTCACGGGATGAGGGCATCACTGGCTAGGCAGCATTTACTGCTCATCCCTAATTGCCCAGAGGCAGTTTGAGTCAACCACATTGCCTTCCCTAAAGGGCATTAGTGAACCAGATGGTTTTTCCCCTGCAATCGATTCATGGTCATCATTAGATTCTTAATTCCAGATATTTTTTGAATTCAAATTCCACCATCTGCTATGGTGGGATTTGAACCTGGGTCCCTAGATTAACAGTCCAATGATAATACCACAAGGCCATCACCTCCCCGACACTCTTTGATCATCTCAAAACATGTTGTTTTCCAGAACGGAGGGCTGTCAATGACATTCTAAAGCCCAGGACTGGGGCATGAAAGATTCACTAAAGGTATTGTAAAGGCTCAATAGGGAAACACACTTTCTAAGGTCCTTTCTCCTCAGTAAGCTGAGAGGCTGGAAACTGTAAAATTCCTCTGGCTGTATGCAATAGTGAAGGCTTGACATGAAAGGTAAATATACATTGTAATTGTACTTAACCTGCTGCATCATTAGCCAAGTTGTTCTAGTAGAACTGAAATACAAGCAATGTAAAAACAAAATTGCTCAGGTATGGCTTGTCTTCCAATATGAGCAATCATTGCCCCATGATTCTGCTTTTGATTGTCAGCAAAGTGATTGAAGATGTAATTGAAAATGCTTTCAAATGGTACTTGCATAGAATTGCCTGCTCATGGACATTCAGTTTGGATTCCACCAGAAACACTCAGCTCCTGATGTGAGATGAGGTGAGAGTGACATCAAGGCCACATTTGATTGAATGTAGCATCAAGGAGCTGTAGAAAGATGGCAGTCAATGGGAATCTGGGAAATCTCTCCATTGTCTTAAGTTATACTCAGCACAAAGGAAGATGGTTATGGTTGCTGCCAGTCAGTCACCTCAGTCCCAGCTATCAAAATATAGTTACGATAGACCCAACCATCATCTATTGCTTCATCAGCGACCTTCCCTCCAAGTTAAGGTCAGAAGTGGGTACGCTCACTGATGTACAATGATGCACAATATTCAGGACCACTTCAAACTCCGACAATGATGCAGTCCATTTCTATATGCAGCAAGACCTGGCAATATTCAGGCTTGGGCAGATGAACAGCACTCAAGTGCCAGGTAATAATCATGTCCACAAAACAG